CCACTGCACCTGGCCAAGAAGATTTTGACATGAATAGTAATGCAGGTTGAGTATCCTGTACTAAAAATACTTGGGACTAAAAGTGTTCCGGATTTTGGATTTTTTTGGGTTTTGGAATATTCTTGGGGATGGAACCCAAGTCTAAATACAAAATTCATTTACGTTTCATATACACCTTATACATGTAGCCTGAAGGTAATTTTATATAATATCTTTAATAATTTTGTTCGTGAAATAAAGTTTGTGTTAAGAACTTGTGTAGAATTTTCCACTTGCGCTCAAAAATTTTTGGATTTTAGAGCATTTCCAATTTTGGGGTTTCAGATTAGGGATGGTCAACCTGTAATAGCTAACACATTAAATGCTAATTATTAAATGCTTTATATGGATTATCTCATTTAATCCTCACAATGACTGCTCAAGTTAGGTTCTGTTCTTGAGTCATCCCCACTTGTCTCCGGTTTTGCTTTCTGCTGCTTCAGTTACCTGTGGTCAACCATGGTCTGGAAGTAGCAACGAAAAATTCCACCATTTATTAGTTTTAGATTGTGAGCCATTCTGAGGAGTGTGATGAAATCTCACGCCATCCTGCTCCATCCTGCCTGGGATGTGAACCTTCTGTTTGTCCATCATCTCCAAGATTTCTATGCCACCTGCCCCTTCGTCACTTAGAAGCCCTCTTGGTTATCCTCCTGGTTATCAGATCACCTGTCATGGTGTCACAGTGCTTGTGTTCAAGTCACCCTTATTTTACTCAATTGTTCTATTTTACTAGTCATTAATTTCTTACCGTGCCTAATTTCTAATTTTTAAATTTATTTTTAGAGACAGCGTCTCTGTCACTCAGGCTGGAGTGCAGTGACTTGATCATAGGTCACTGTAACCTTGAATTCCTGGGCTCAAGTGATCCTCCTTCCTCTTGCCTCAGCCTCCTGAGTAGCTAGGACTACAGGTGTGTACCACCAAGCCCGGATAATTAAAAAAAAATTTTTTTTTTTTAGAGATGGGGGTCTCACTATGTTTCCCAAGCTGGTCTTGAAATCCTGGCCTCAAACAGTCCTTCCACACTGGCCTCCCAAAATGCTGGGATTACAGGTGTGAGCTACTGCTAATTTATAAACTAAACTTGATCATAGGTATGTATGTATAGGAAAAAACATAGTATATATGGAGTTCAGTACTAGCCATGGTTTCATGCATCCACTGGGGGTCTTGGAATGTATTTCCCTTGGATAAGGGACTGTATCTCTCATGGATAATACATGGACTATTGTATTTCCTATTATAGTGGTGAGGAAACTTACTTGGGTTGAATAACTTGCCCAAGCTGGGCATCAGGCAGTTTGTTAGGGAGGCCCACACTAGGAACTGCAATACCACCCTTAGGTGATGTAGAATCCAGACTAACGCTGCGGAGTGGTAAGAGGAAAGAGGGATAACGCCCCTCTGCATGGTGCACAGAAGCTTCTTAAAGTTGGGGGATATTTGAGTTGGGCCTTGAAGGATGGGTAGGAGCCTACCTTTCCCTACACTCGCTTAGTATATAGTATAGTGAAGAGGAACACAGGCTCCTGGACAGCCATGGGTTCACATTCCAGTTCCACCATCTTCCCAATGGAATGACTTGTGGTAAGTTGTCCTCTGACCATTAGTTTCCTAATTTGTAAAATGGGAACAATGAAAATTATACCTTGAAACATCATGACGAATAAATATGATTGCATATGAAAGTACCCAGTTAGGTGTCTGACACGCAGCATGGGAGCTCAGTGCCTGGTCGATAATATGGACAGATGGGTATAATAGCAATAGTTAGCACCTGCAGAGTGCTTAACATTTCAAGCACTTAACACCGATTAACTTATCAACGATCCTATTAGATAGGTACTCATTTTAGACCCATTTTACAGATGAGACACTGAAGCACAGAAAGGTTAAATACGTTATTCTGAGCTAGTAAATGACAGAGACAGGATTGGAACCCAGGCAGTACGGCCCCAGAGTCGATGTGTGTAGCACCTCACTCTACCTCTGAAACCGCAGAAAGTGGGGCTGAGACAATAAGCAAGCAGCACCTCAGAGTCAGAGGCAGGAGGAGGGAAGTGAGTCATCAGGGGAGGATCGCTGGAGGGGCCATCTTGTTCTTTGGAAAATCCGATGCCTTGTGAAGTGACAGTCACCAGCACAAACCACCTGGCTTCTGGCTTCTCAGACTGGGAGAACAGGATGGTCCAAAGGGTACGCCAGGGATACATGAAACCATAGCGCAAACAAGTTGTGGTCACTCACTCTGTAAGTTTTTACTGTGTACCATGAGCTGTTCTATGAGCCTGGAATATAGCCATGAACGAAACCAAACTAAAATCCCTGCCCTCCTGGAGTTTATGTTCTAGTCAGGGGTGCGGGGAGATAGACAATCAGCAGATAAATAAACAGATATATAGAAGAGGGTGGGACAAGTGTTATGGAGAGAAAGTGGAGGGAGGAGTGAGAAACTCCTTGTGATGTTGCATAGGGTGGTATGTGGGGTGTGCTCTCTGAGAAGGTGACATTTGAGCAAAGACCTGAAAGAAGCAAGGGAGTGGGAGTTTTAGGAATTCTGGGGGTAATATGTTCCAGAGAGGGAGAAGAGCAAGTGCAAAGGCCCTGAGGCAACAGTGTGCTTGGCAGATTCAAAGAATAGCAAGGAGGCTGGTGTGGCTGGGGTGGAGAGCAAAGGGGAGAGCAGTAGGAGATGAGGTCAGAGGGGCGTGTGCTGGAGAAGGGCACATCTCCACCCATCTTCAAGATTTCTCTGTGTGTTATAAAAACAAACATGAGGAAAGAATGCAAAATAGGCACACATTTCAAAGTGCTTATGGAACCTCCCCTGCGCAGACATCCTCTTTCCCTTTCTCCCTCTCCCCAGTCTGTCTCTGTCTATCCATGTGAGCCTCATGGGGGTGGAAATTGGCAGACCATAGGCGTGACTGTGACCAGGTTTCTGGGTCGAGCCTCTGCCTGGGGTCTTACTGGTGGTCAGGAGAGGTCTTGGAAATCATCACCATCTCAGGCCTCTGTGGAGGAGAATGCCACTGGCTTCCTCCAGGCTAAGATCTGTGTTTAGTCAATGAATCCTAAAGAAACTGCTCCTTCTTCCAGGCCCGGGTCATCTCCATACCCTGGTGCTCTGAGTTCGGGTGGGGCCTGCACCAGACACTCACCGCAGGGAATATTTGCTGACCCAAACGGAATGTGATAAACGCTCAGGTACTTTGAGGTTCTGCTGGATGGTTTTTTGGCTTGGATCCGCTTTGAACTGGTTCATCATTTTGGTTCCTTTTCGGGTAGAGGGGAGGGGGAGGCTGGAAGGAAACTTTGGTTCAGTTCATGCTTCTGTGAAAAATTAACATTGGGTTCAGTTCAGAGTCCAGTCAGTCATTTCAGTTTTTTTAGTTCAAGTCTCCATCTAAGGGGGAGCCTCCTAGCACGTATTTATTTTCAATAAACCAGCTAGGCACAGAGAGAGTTGACTATAATGCCATTCTAGCCTGCAGGGGTGGCAGGGACAGAACAAGTCCCAGTGCAGATAACAGCCACACTGACAGAGCAGGACAAGCACCAGTAATTAGGCCCACCCCCTTCTGGATAATGAAACCGAGGATTAGGGATTTTAAGGACATTGCAGTGTCAGGATTTGAACTTAAACAATCCTACTCCAGAGCATGTGTTCCTAACCACTGGGGTATGCTGTCTCTTTAACAGGGTCCCTATGAGAAAACCCCGGCAACTTGCTTTGGGCTGGCAGAGGAAGAAGTTGCAGGTTTCACTGTATTTCATGTGTACATTCAATATGTTCAAACATTCTGATACATGCTATGCACTAAGGATGTGGAGATAAACCTGCCATGTCTGGACCTTTCGGAACGCACTATTCACCCTAACCTGGGAAGTGTGGAGGAGTAGCTGTGAGTCAAGTGTTACTGAAAGACAAAAGAGGGCACAAGTAACTGTTTCCAGAGAGGTGAAATTTGCCCCAGGCATTCAACAACAGCAAAGCAGGAACAGGTACTTTCCACGTGCCTAGCCAAGGAATCATAGCCCCTGCGCTTGGGGGCTTAAAATCTAGTGCAGTTTATCTGGTTTCGGAACCATCTATTTCAGAATTCTGCTGGTGCTTGTTAAAACGGGGATTTCTCTCTTCCCCAGAGAAATCTGGGAATTGCATAAAGCAGGACTGTGGCAAACAGGTGATTCTAATGCACACTCAAGTTTGCCAGCTGAGAGGGGGAAAGGAATCGGTCCAGGTAGGGGGAACAACATGGATAATGGCTTGGGAGTCCTTAGTAGCCTTCCGGCACTGGGGTTGCAGTTCAAGACTATAAGCTCTGGGAGGAGAAGGATCTTGTCAAATTGTTTATCGCCCAGGTCCTAACTCAAAGGCTGGAACACAATAGGGCCTTATAAATATTTGTGAATATGCTGGCCCCCAAGATTGAAAAGACCTGGAGAGTCGAAAGGAAAAACGAAGTCGGAGGCAGAAGAAAAAGGTGTTCCTAAGGCGATGAAAACTTTCTGCGAAGTTGTCCTGGAAAAAACAGCTCCGCGTAACACAGGGAGCTGGGAGGTGGCCGCTGCGGGACAGGGCGATGAGTCCTGGGGGATCCAGCGCGGGAGGAGGCAGGAGGCGCCTCTTTGCCTCCCCAGGCCGGCCGAGGCATGAGGTCACCTGGCACAGTACCAGCAGCAGCTGTGGAGGACGCGCCGGCGCTGCAGAGGGAGGCAGTGTCAGGCTCGGGCCCCTGGGGAATTTCCCTCCGCCCCCTCGGGAGGCGTGCCTAGGAGTCCCGCCCGCCAGAACCTGAGCTTTGTACCTCCCCACCAAGGCCACGCCCCGAGACTAGGCCACGCCCCGTCAGCTGCTTTGGAATGCCGCTGTGGTCCCTCCGCCGGCGCCGGAGAGATTGCTCCGCCTTCTCCGCCCTAGGCCACGCCCCTGAGCTCCGGCCACATCGTTCTCCCTGGAGAGTCCCGAGACGCCGAACCTTGGCTCCGCCCACCGTCCGAGGCCCCGCCCCAGGCGCCCCGCCCAGCGGTTTGAAGCGGCACGGGCTGCGGCCGCCTCAGAGTCGCGCGCGGGGCGTGGGGCAGTGCTGAGGAGACTCGGTCGCGGCAGCTCGACGCCGGACTGTCCAGCGAGCGCAGCGCGGCGAGAGCCCGCAGCCAGAGCAGCCCCAGAGCAAAAGCAGCAGTCGCCGCCGTCCGCGGAGCCCAGCCCAGCCGAGCCGGCCATGGCGTTGTCGATGCCACTGAACGGGCTGAAGGAGGAGGACAAAGAGCCCCTCATCGAGCTCTTCGTCAAGGTGAGCGCTCGCCTCGCGGTCCCACCCAGCCGAGCCCCCAGCGCCCGCCGGGCCGCGGGGGGCGGTGTCCCGGGGCTTCCCCGAAGCGCCCCCGCGCGGCGTCCGCACCCGGGTCTGCGGGGAGAGCTGCGGGCTCCAGCGCCCCCAGCCCATTGTCTCGGGGCCACCCGCGCCTTCCCGCCTCCGAGGGCCCGTCGAGGGGGACGGGTGGAGACCCTGGCCTCAGAAAGCTCCAGAACGGGGCAGCGGCCACCGTCTCCGGCGGCGCGGGGCCCGCGTGCGGGTGGTCCGGAGAGCCCGCGGGGTGGGACGAGCCTCCCACGCCTGCGGCTCCTAGCCCGGGGCGCGCGGGAGTCCTGTCACCCACCCCCACCCCGGCGCCCGGCCCCACCCCTCAGCCCTCGGGGCCGCCCCAGCCGGGGAGCCTCGAGCCAGTCGTCAGATGATAACCCAACTTCTTTGAACGCTTTTTAAAGAGCATTTGCTCCCCGTCAGTATGAAACTGAAAGTTTAATGTTTGATGAAATCTTAAAAAATTTACAAAAGAGCAGCCGCTCCTGGACCATGGGAAAAGACCGAGATTCCCAACTTGAGTTTTCCTGTCTTGGGTATTTACCACCATCTGGTTTTCTTGTTTCTCAAGCGCGGAGTGCTTTGTATGATGCAACATTTTGGCTTCTCCCCTCGGTGTTACTGCCTGGGAAGGACTGTGTGTGCCCTTTTGTTTTGAAAGGAGTTGATCAGGGAAAGAATGCATAACTTGCTTGGGTTTTAAAGGGTTGATTTTTCCTTGTCTCTCTAGCTTTTGTGTCCTGGAACTACCTTATTTGCTTACAAATACTACCACCCCTAACCTTTTCCTTTTTTCTTTAATATTTTTCAGTTTAGCAGGGGAGAGCGAGTAGAAGTTAAAAACATCTGGATCCAGCTACTTCCCTCAAGACTTATTTAAAATCTTTGAGATTCTCTCAGCCACTTAACTTAAAAAGCCAGGCTCATTCAGAGCTAGGCAACATCCTGGAACCCTAACAGGAATGTAGAACTATTTTGTTCTTTTTTTTTTTCCCCCTGAGTTTTTATTTTAAAGAAAGGAAGACATCGAAGGGTGTGTTTAAGAGTTGAAGAGAAGAAATTATCGGCAAATGATTAAACAATGTTTGTTTTAGGATTTTCTTTCAATTTTGAGTTTTAGAAACATTTTCGTCCAGGAAACTGAAACAGCAGACAGGTATAGAACTCCCAGAATAGCAAAGTGTCTAAGTGCTTTAGGTGGCAGATATGATATTGTACTTTGAGGTGCAGAGAATGCAGGAAGGAACCTGAAATAAGAAAGGAAAAGAGAAGGCGGAGGTGGGGAAGTGGAAAGCAATATGGAGAAGGGAAAAGGCTGGGTCAGAAATCAGTAAAAAAATTTTTACTGAACTAGGAATAAGAAGGAATTTCCATAACCTTAAAAAAAGTATATCCACTAATCTAAAAGACATGATACTTTAATGGTGAAACTTTAGAAGCAGTATTAAACTTAGCATCAGATAAGCATACTATCAGTATGGCTTCTAGTCAGCATTGTATTGGAGGACCTAAGCAATATAGTAAGACAAGAAAAATGAAGTATAAGAATTAAAAAGGAAGAGATCAATGCTTAGTGCTCTGCTTGCTATTAATTTAATCTTTCAGTTAGAAGGAGAGGAGTGTGCTGCACTATTTCCCAAACTTGGGTCACTCGCAAACCCCTTCCCAGTTTTCCGTATTGTGAACCACTTGAAATCATCCTGCTTACCACTAGCTGTAAGCCTTTCTCACTGGGCTTGGCAGCAGAGAGCCAGGGTTCAAGTCACGGTCTGTACCCAAGCTGGGTTACCTTGGGCAAATTGTTTTCCCTCTTTAAATCTTATTTTCCTCATTTGTGAAATGAGAGGCGAAACGTTTTCGCCCTGTGATTCAACATTTGTACTGATATAGGTCAGGTTAGTTGTTCGAAAGGAAAAAAAGGGACCGGTAAAATGTGGTAAAGGATATTCTTGATTTCTTCTTAAAACTTACGTGTGGGAAATGCAAATGGGGGAAAATACCCTTGTAAATATAGTTATTTTGAAAGCAGTGAGGGGGCAGAGGCTGTGGTTGTCCAGAGTGATGTGTTAAACACTGTTAATTATTCTGCCAAAAAGTATCTGAGTTGGTAGCAGAAAACTATTTATACTTGCACATAGCATGTATAGAAATTTAAAATTTGGTGGTGGTGCTAGGGGGCATGCAGAGGGGTGTGATGGGGTATTGAGCCTACCTGTCAAGGGCTGAGCTTTAAATTGAAGAGAAATAGACTAGGAACTTCTCAAATAGTGTGACTGGACTCACAGCTACATTTCCTTTCTTGTGAGTATTGTCTGCTCCTGAGCCCAGTGACTCCATCATCTGTGTAACAGCACTTTCCCATTGTTGCTTTTTTATCCCAATATCTAGAGGATAGGATACCCTCCCAGTAGTAAGAAAGGTTTACAAAGGCAGACATCCCCAACAGTGGAGATGCTTTCTTGCCCACACTGCGGGGCCTGGTGGGTGTATATATTTCCAGTTTGGAACCACCAGCCAATAGGATAAAGTTCAGACCCTTTAGCAAAGGCATATAAGGTCCCTTATAATCTGACCACTGCCTGGATTTCTTCCAATTTGTCCATTTACTAGTTGTGTGTCCCAAGACACATCACTTAAACCTCTCTGTGCCACATCTGTACAGTTCGGATATTAATAGACTAACCTTATGGGAATAAATAAATTAAAAATGTGGTATGCACTAATCTTAGAACAGTGTCTACTTAGAATACTGTAAACAAATAAATACTAGTTCCATATCATTTTGTATGTAAATGTTCATATGCAGATCTCCCCTGGGTCTATTTATTGTTCGGAGGGCCTGCAGCTTAAGAGGGTACCAAATGTTTGAAATGAGATTTTAGAACATATTATTGTCAATGAATATGTCTACCATGCTTTGGAATTGCAGACCACCTGCGGAGATCCTGGTGCTTTGAGTGTCAAACCTTGGTGCTTCATTCTGTTTTCTCTAGCCTCAAGACTCCAAAACCCCATGTGATTTTATCTCCTCACCTCTTTTTTTCTCCATTATTTAATACTTCTAATCTTTTCATGTATCTACCATATTTTCCACCACTGTTTCTTCTTGGCTAAATTTGGGGAACCAAGATTTGTTTGGGTAAAACTAAATACTAACTTTTGAACCACAAAATGAGAGAATTTGAGAAGAGACTGGATTTTTAGATTTTTCTTTTGCTTGTATAAACCCTTGCAATTAGATGTGATTCACTCCCACCCCTACCCTCCAGGTGGCTTTGATGTAATGGTGGTATTTCTGATCTCAGTTTAGGAAGTAATCCCTTTGTGGAGTTTCATTTTTTGGACTGGGATATAAACTTGGTGTACCATTATGAATTGGGACAGTTCATAATTTTTAATAAAGTTTTAAAACCTAACCTTGGTTTTTGTTAGTACATACATTTTCCTACCCTTTCAGTCTGCCTACACTTCCCTATTTTTCAGATTGCTGTCTTTTCAACAATTTCCCAGTGGTACACTGTCAGCAAATAGTCACTAACCTGCTGGGATTGGAGCCGTGGTTGTAAAAAGTTAATCTGGTGCAGGGTGGCATAACACATAAGAATAACTGTTTCTTTTAAGATATTTGACAAGGGTTTCCAATGTGCGTGGACCCTGGAGCCAGACTGCTTGACTTGAATCTGGTGGCTTCTAGTAATATGTCAGGCAAGTTTCTTAAGCTCTCAGTACTTTGGTTTCCTGACTTTCAATATCAGGATAATAGTAATAATAACCGTAATTTCATAAGGTTTCTGAGGGGATTAAAACTGGTAATCTGTATTTATTAGGATAGTTTAAGCTGTTAAAATAAGTAATCTCCAAACAATGGTTCAAATAAATTAGAAGTTTATTTCTTTCTTGGCAGTCTAAGAGGATATTTTAGATGTGGAGGTGGCTTTCCTCAGAGTCATTTACAGACCAAGGCTCTTTCCATCTTACTTGTCCAGTAACCCCTAGAGCATTATCCTCTTCTGAGTTGTCAAAGCCAACTGCTGATGGGTCCTGCTTGCAGCCAGTGGGAGGTGGAGAATATGGAGGAGTCACATCTTAAGTGCCCTAGCCCAGAAGTCCTACTTTTCATTTCTTGTCACATTCTGTTGGAGAGAACTTAATCACATGGTGTCATCTAACTGCAAGGGAGGCTGGCAAATGTGTTCTAGCCATATGTGCTGTGTAAAGCGTTAGGAAGAATGCTTGACACAGGGTAAACACCTGTTTTTGTTGTTTTGTTTTTGTTGTTGATAATATTATATTAAATGTAGGCTTCATTAATAGGATTCAGGGGTTTCTGTAAGTCCTTGAAATTACATAAAAAATTCTAGGTGAGTCTTTTTTCTAGGAATTCCTAACCCAAGAGTTAAGAACCACTGTTCTAAAACAAGTAAATGGTGGAATTCTGAGCATCAAGAATAATTCATGTATGCAAGGTATAAAAAGAAGGGGTTGGGCTAGATGATCTTTTAGGTCTGCAGTCCCCAACCCCTGACCCGTGGTCCAGTACTGGACCATAGCCTATTAGGAACTGGGACGCACAGCAGGAGGTGAGTGGTGGGTGAGCAAGCAAAGCTTCATATATATTTATAGCTGTTCCCATTTGCTGGCTTCACTGCCTGAGCTCCGCCTCCTGTCAGATCATTGGTGACATTAGATTCTCATACGAGTGCAAACCCTACTGTAAACCGCACATGAAAGGGATCTAGGTTATGCACTCCTATGAGAATCTAATGCTTTATGATCTGAGGTGGAGCTGAGGCGGTGATGCTAGGGCTGGGGAGTGGCTGCAAATACAGATTATCATTAGCAGGGAGGTTTGACTGCACGATAAATGTGCTTGAATCATCCCACAACCACCCCGTCCATGGAAAAATTGTCTTCCATGAAACTGGTCC